GAGGTGGTGGCACTGCCACCCCATCGATTATGGGGCAACCCCCACCAAACCCCCCCCCAGTTTGGGGGGCGGAGGAGGAGCGAGGTCCCCGCGGGGGGGCCCGGAGCAGCGGGGTGGTGGCTCAGCGAGGGGTTTCCAGCCTGAAGCAGGGGGTGTCCCCTCCTCCCCGGGACCCCGATGGCCCTCGCTGTTCCCCCTGCCTTGGGGGCACTCAGTGTGTCCCCGCGGCCCCTGCACCTCCGCCGGGACATGGGCAGCGCCTCCAGCGTCCCCAGGGTCTCTGGGGGGGGGCCTGGTGTCCCCAGGCTGCACCCCTGCGTCCCCCAGAGGTGCCCCGGGGTCCCTGAGATGTGTCCCAGTGTCCCCAGGAGGTGCCCCAGCGTCCCCAGGAGATGCCCCAGGGTCCCCAGCAGTGCCCAGGTGTCCCCAGGCTGCACCCCAGGGTCTCCGGAGGTGCCCCAGGGTCCCTGGGATGTGTCCTGGTGTCCCCAGGAGGTGGCCTGGTGGCCCTGGTGTCCCCAGGGACCTTGGGATGTGCTGCAGTGGCCCCAGGAGGTGTCCCCAGGGTCCCTGGGATGTTCCCTGGTGTCCCCAGGGTCCCCATGTCGTTCCCCAGTCTCCCCAGGCCAGTCCCAGGGTCCCCAGGATGTGCCCCAGCACCCCCAAGACGTACCCCAGGGCTGGACCTCGGTGTCCCCAGGCTGGACTCCCCCTGTCCCCAGCTGCACCCTGTGTCCCCAGCCGGACCCCGTGTCTCAGGCTGGACCCTGCTGTCCCCAGGCCGCCCTCCATGTCCCTGGGCTGTTCCCCACTGTCCCAGGGTGTACCCCACGTCCCCCGCTGTCCCCACACTGTGACCTGCTGTCCCCAAGCTGCACCCCACTGTCCCATCTGTACCCCGTGGTCCTAATGCTGTCCTCCTCTGTCCCAGTTTGTCCCCAGTGTCCCCCCCATCCCAGGCTGTCCCCAGTGTCCCCCCCATCCCAGGCTGTCCCCCTCTGTCCCAGGCTGTCCCCCAATGTCCCGGGCTGTCCCCCAGTGTCCCCTCTCCATCCCAGGCTGTCCCCCAATGTCCCAGGCTGTCCCCACCACTACCCTGAAACTTTCCCCATCCATCCCACGCCCCTCTATTCCACGCTGTCCCCATGGTGTCCCCCACTCCTCACGCTGTCCCCGCGTGTCCCACGCTGTGCCCCCCCATCCCAGGCTGTCCCCCAGTGTCCCCCCCCATCCCAGGCTGTCCCCACCACTACCCTGAAACTTTCCCCATCCATCCCACGCCCCTCTATTCCACGCTGTCCCCATCGCGTCGCCCACCCCTCCCCTCCGC